CCCTCTTACCCCTCCCCCCATTTTCGTATGCATTACCTGGAAGCAAAGGATTCTGAATAGAAGTGGGTCCCTCAATCAGTTCTTAGCTAAGAGCATTGCTACAGGGCCACCCAGTTCATACCTGACGGTGATTTAAGTAAGAAATACAACTTTGTCAAGCTACTGGAATTTGGGAGTTTATTTGCTCCTGAAGCTTAGTTTAGCCTATGATGATGCAAAAAGAATAAGAAGATAATTACAAAACAATTAGTGCTACTTTAAACTCAGGGTGCCAGGGAGACACAGAGGAGGATGCGTGACGCAACCGTAAAAGTTAGAGAATGCTTTCTAGAGGAATCAAAGTCTAACACGAGATCTCAGAAATTGACAGGCATTATTGTGTCCCCACACAGTTCTTAGCACATGGTCATTCAAAAATGCTTTCTGAATGAATCAGTCAATTCTTTCAACTTTCAGAATAGAGGTATGTTACTAGCCATGTCTGCAAAGGGTTTCTGATTAATCGAACCTTGAATATATGACATTGTGTCTGGGCTGGTCTTAGAGGCTAGGAAGACAACACCGTGTGTTCCAGTTGTGGATTGATGACCAGAAATGAAAACCCGTGTCCCAGCCTGCCTCACACCATGGCATCGGTGTGGTGTTAGCCCATCGGCCCCTTCTCCTTGGCATTTATGTACTTGTAGCCTGACGGTATTTATATTTCACAGATAATTCCAGGAGGCTTCTCAAAAACAGAGGAAGATAATTGAAAGCAAAACCAGGAGAGAGAACAAAGGTGTTTGCTTGCCTGTGGGAGACTCACAAGGCCACAGGCTGGGGGCGGAGTGGGTAGGGAGAGAGAGTGAGCCTGCAAGTGAATGACCCAGTGACAGCAGTGACCAAATGATTCTGGTAACTTGGGGGTAAACACCTGACAGGAAACAGCTGCTGGGGAAGGAACATTTTCATTTTGGTTGGAAAACCCTGCAAAGAGATCTTAAACATATTCAGCATCTTCAGTCTTAGCACAGTGGTAGAACCTGGTCATCACATTAAGACACCGAAGGTCATTTATACAAATTTGTCAGTTCTTCTGCAAAAGAAACGAATAATTTATTTAAAAGAAGTAAGCTTCAGAGCTGTGTTTCAACACTCAAGGGGACAAAGTGAGTGCTCTTTTAATTGCTTTGTATGTTTTCCCTGATGGAGGTTAAATACTCATATAATCAAGCCAAATCCATTTTCTTTTTCCTGAAGAGAAGTGCTCTCTAGCTAAGCAATGACAGATAGTATTAGGTGTAACGTGCTCTGCAAGGGTTGCCATGGTAAGAGTTCATCTGTTTTTCTTTTCTCCCATTTTTCCATAAATAACAGAGTGGAAGAGTACAGAAAGTCTGTGTGGAAAAGATGTCTGGGGCTAGAGTGTTACTCAGTTCTTTGCCATGCAGGAGAGTCAGTGGGTTTCATGTTAAATGAATTTCGTACTAAAAAGCTTTCTCTTTCTCTCTCTTTCTGTTTTGGGTAGGTGGCCTGATTTGCAATATTAGACAGTTCCCAGAATCACCACCAACACTGACTGGCAGATTTAATTGAATGAATGAAGCGGCAATGTGGGTGTGTGTGTGTGTGTGTGCGTGTGTGTGTGCGCATGCGCGCAATAGCAGTTCACAGTAGCAGTTCACACCTTGTAAATGCCAACTCTGTCTTAATTATATCAGATTTAGTAGTCATCTGATTTTTACAGTGGGGTTTCAAACACAGCTCTGCATTTCCTTTCTAGGAAGGAAAACTCAGTCGTCACTTGCACGCCTACTGAAAATTTCTAATGTATTTTCATGGAATTCGTAGCAATTCTCTCTTTTGGAGCAGGTCACTTTGAGTTGACATGAAAACTTTTTCCCCCCTCGGAACAGAGCAACCTTTGATGTTCATCGTAGCAAATGCTCATTTAGTGCCTATTCTGTGCTCTGGAATGTTCCGGGGTTGGGGGCAGCGCAGATATAATTAGGATGTGGTCCTTGTTGTCCTGTTCTTCTGGCTTGTTTTCAGAACATTCGTCTTGGGTCTGGAAGGTTTTCTTTGCAGGCTGGAGAGGTGGTATCCTGGGGGCAGAGGCCTGAATGTGCTTGTTGAGAACTATGTGGGTTGAGACCTTAGGTCTGGGTTTCCTCTATGGGATAAGCATGATGCACTCGGCTATCGAAAATCAGAGGGGTGGGTGGAAGGGCTACTGTTCCCACTCAGTCCGTCCTCAGTATTTCCCTGGGGGCCACAGCAACCAGAGGGCTGAAGTCGGAGGCATTAGGAGAGGCCCGTGGCCACAGTTGTTTTGCGTCTAGCCGAGGGGCTTACACTACCTTTTAAGCTAGAGCAGCTCTGGAGTCTCTGCTCAATCCCATGATTTCTTCTGGGCCTTTTGGACTTTCGAGCGGTTGTCATTGAATTGGGATGACATGGTGCCTCTGTGTGTGTATCCTGACACAGTCATTTACTCTGGATCTTCAAGGTCTTGGCTGAAGAAGGGCCAGTTACTTGGCCAATCACATGGAAATGATTAGAATAGCACTGTACCTCAAAATATGGCATACATGATTGTTATTTAATAAACTTTAAAAAATAGTTTTGATTTTATTTTTATGTAATAGGAAAAATATTAGCCAGTACATCAAATCTACAATAGAGGTAAAGGTAAATAATGCCATGATAAATAATTTAAAGAAAAAAAAGTAGATGCATTTAAATAATAAATATTAAGTATAAATGATTTATCATGTATTAGTCAGGAAGGACTAGCTGTGGTAACAAATAACTTCTGAGTCTCAGAGCTTTAATTTAATCATGTTCTTCCATGCATGTCAAAATCCAGTGTGAGCTGGTATCATTGCTCGGCTCCATGTAGTCATAGAAGCCCCAGTCTCTTTCAGCTCGTTGCTCTAAGTCCTCCATTAGATCATCTGAATATGCTTAGGAGATGTGGTGATAGGGAGAGCTTGGAGGCTGCATAGGGAGTTATAATGGGCCGGGTCTGGAGATGCAGGTTAGGTTATCACACCACATTCCCTTGGCCAGGTTTCAGTCACTTGGCCACAAAACTTGAAGGGAAGCCAGAAACTGTTCTAGTTACTAGATGGTTTGGTAAACAACTAATTTCTCGTCCTCATCAATTTAACAAAGTTATAAAGGTTCAACACAAATGACTGGCTGATGCTTGGAAGAGGAAAAGAATCAGCTTTGGAGATTTTGGTTTTGTTTTTTTAGTCATAACACTGATTTTTTTTTTTTAAGACTTAACACTGCCATTTATTAGTGAGGGGGTCATAGGCACTTGACTCAATTCTTCTGGGGCTCAAAGGCCCTTTGTGCAGAGTGAGGAAATCCATCTCAAGTGTTTTGGGGAGATCGATGGGAGCTCACACGTGTTTAGCATCATACACGATACTTGGCGTGCAGTAGATGTTCACCATAGGTTAATTCCCTTCCCTCAATATCCTTTTCCTCAGATTTCTCTTTCAAATTTGGGGAGACACCTTTGTCACAGAGGCAACCTTGTCAGAATTAAAGTGATAAAATACTTCTCCCCCCAGGGAGAAGGGGGTCTTCTCTTTTTCTGTTCTGGCATGCTTTCAACCTCAGTATCTTATTTTAAATTGTGCACACATTGTAAAAATTTTTAAATCATCAGCTATGTATATATTTTTAAAAATTTACAAACCAATCACATTTGATCTAGATAGATTAAATCAAAAGTAATTAAGATTTCATAATAAAACCTTATCTACAGTGGCCCCAAATAACATTTTTGGTATGTTGGAAAACCTTGTTTTTAGCCATGGTTATTTGGTTGGAGCTTTCTAAGATGGCCTTTTCTTTTGACATTTAGTTAGGACAATGATGAGACATAAAGTCACGTAAAGGAGGCAGTTCTCCTTGAATTTTCCCTTCGACCCAAGGCAAGAACTTTTGAAGCCATTTCAGATTTATAGGGTTAAGTTTCATATTCATTTGCACATTTTCTTATTCATTCAGTCATCGAATTCCCTTAGCCTATTGAAAAGTTCCGACTGCAACTTATAAAGATCTCATCCTAAATTAAATTCTAAAACTAATGAAACTTAACAATCTATAAGAGGAACCAAAAAATAGTCTTCCCTCAATAAGCACAAGGAATTTCCATTATATTATGAATGGTGAAAGTCTATGAATAATGGGTGGGAAATGAGTCACAGCACAAGCCCTAGTCATTTATGCCATACATTTTCCCCACCGAGACGTCTGTTGGGGAATTTGACTTCCCTTAGGACAGAAATCTAATAGGTAACAGTAGGAGCTAGTCAGATGCAGCTCCCCCAAGATTTCAGAGTCAGTTTAAAATTTCCAATGGACTGAGAAATCATGAAAATGTGTGTGAATGGTAATAAAGACTGCCATTTATTTGGCACTTGCTATGTACTGGACTCCGAGGTAGTGTTTTGCAGTTGATGGAGGTGAGGTTTCAACTCTAGCTGGGTGACTCCAAAAATCCTATGTTTTTCTGGCTCCGGAAGCAGCAAGACAAAGGACCTTGAGTCCTTTGAAATCACAGAGAGATTCACAGTAGTGTTCTGCCCACGTACTGTGAGACCCTAGAAAATTAATTATTCCCTCTAGGCCTTCTATCCTTTTCTAAAATGATTAAGAACACTCGGAAAAGTATAGTTTTCCTATCTATGTAGGTTATTATTCCAAGTACAGGTTCATTTGGGGCTCTAGACAAACCGAATGGCTGAATGGTCTTTACAGGTAGACCATCTGGCTCAGATCTATTTCCTCTACTTTAATGAACCAGGTTAAATGTTAGCGAGGCTGAATGCCGTTTGGAATCCATTACATTTCATTCCACGAGTTATAGATTAATCTAACCTAACATCTTCTGAGCACATACAGTAGGCAAAAACTCATTCCAGTGTTTCACTGGAGCCACAAATATGATTTCTTGTGGTCTCGGTCAGCATGAAATTCTTTATTACAGGTGACAGAAACTTAATAATAGGAAATGATTGGCTTCCCTAACTGAAGTCAAAGAGTGTTCATCTGAGTGGTCAGTGCTGTAAGGAGTGGGTTTCTCTCCACCTCTCAGCTCTACTTTCCTTTGAGTTGGGTGTCCTCGTGGGTCAGATGTTGGGCGTCTTGTCTTATAGCTCTGGATTCATCACCATCTAGTTTAACAACTAGTGTAAAAGGAAATTTTCCTTCTGGGTAATTCTTTACTAATCCCAGATGTCATTCTCATCGTCCTGGATTGGGTCACAAGCCTACCTCTGAATCAGTCCCTAAAATGAGAGACTACCATATTCTCCTTGATCTGAACTAGGTACTCTTGTACCCGTTTTGTGGCCAAGGAATGGCATCAGCAGCTACACCAGAAGAGGTATCGAGAAGAAGAGGTCGTTCCTTAAAGGGACATGAATCGAAGCAGAAAATTGGATGGCCCCAATAGGGAGCATTTGACTGGACCATGAAGGAGGTAAAGTGTTTGGACATAGAGAAAGCGGGGGTGGGATGCATTTCAGATGGCGAATTTGGTCTGAGCATGATGGTTAATTTTCTGTGTCATCTTGGCTGGGCTAAGGGATGCTCAGATTGCTGGTAAAACATTATTTCTGGGTGTATCTGTGTGGGTGTTTTGGGGGGAGATGAGCATTCGAATCTGTAGACCAGGAAGTTCTCCCTAACCAATGGGGTGGGCATCATTCAATCTATTGGGGACCAAATAGAACAAGAAGGTAGAGAAAGAAAGAATTCTCTTTCTGTTGGAACTGGGAAATCCATATTCTCTTGCCTCTAGACATTGGTACTCCTGGTTCTTGGGCTTTCAGACTAAGACAGAGTTACATCACCACATCACCACCTGTCCTGGTTCTCCAGTTGGCAGATAGCAGACCGTAGGCCTTCTTGGCATTTATAATCACGTGAGCCAGTTCCTATAAAAATCTCCTCCTATTGATTCTTTTTTTTTTTTTTTTTTTCTTTCTGGAGAACCCTCACTAACACAATGAGGAATGATACAGATATAGGAAATTTAGTCTTTTAGTCTGACTGGAGACATAGATTGCATAAGGAAGTTCAGTGGGTGGTAGGGTAGGGCCATATAATGGTTTTTTTTTTTTTGGATTGCAAACAAGAACGTGAATTTCATTTTCTGGCAATGGGAAGCCTCTGATCACTTCTGGGAATGGACACATGAAGTAAGACATTCCTCACTACATGGTGAGTCCCTTCAGAGCCAGAAGGAATCCTTTTTTCCCCACTTTCTCTCGCAGTACAACACAGAGTACCTAGTATATAGCTGGGTCTCATTAAATATGTCTTGAAAGGACATCAATTTTATCATCAAATGTCTAATGATAGTTGACACTATTGGGTGCTTCTATATATCAGACACCATGATAAGTGCTTTATAGGTATCTCATGAGTCATCACAGAAACCGTGTGATGGAAGTGTTCTACATATTCATTTTATAGATGAGGACTGTGACACTTATAAAGGTCAGGTGATAGAACAAGGACTTCAGCTGAGGTTCTGTGCATTCAACTCACATACTCACCCATCACAGCAACCTGACTCCATGTAATTTGTGTAACACCTGAAAGAATGCAAAGAGCTTCCCATACATACACTGTGTTACTCAGGCCTCACTATATTCCCATGAGGTAAATGTTATTATAATTTCCATTTTATGGCTGATAAAATAAAATCCAGAGAGAAGTAACTCAACCAGAATCACAGAGCCAGTAAATTGAGGTGCTTGATTTGCATTCAACAACTCTGTGTCTGAAATCTGTTCACTTTCCCTAACACCAGTTAGCTTCCTAGCAGCTGCCAGGCCATGGTGGGGAAGATGATCTATAAGGTTCTCTGTGCGTGTGCCAACCCTAACATTCAGATATTCTAATCTTCCAGCAAAAAATTAAATGTGCATAGACCTCATCTCAGCTCTTTCACATATTATAAAATGTGAGGCAGGCAGGCTAAAATGTAAAGGCCACTGGAATAAGATCATGATTTTAGTTGATGTATCACTGTTTAAATTTCATGAAAAGAGATCTCGGTTAGCTTTCTTTGTATCATTTTTCTCTTTCATGCAAATATCTACAAATTCTCTGCACTAAAGACCCTTGTACCTTCTACTGAACGTCGAGTGTGAATTGGCCATTCCATGAGAGTGCTGACTTTTCCACTGGGGCCACTTGGCAAAGTGGACTGCCTTGTCAACCACTCTCGAGCTTGTAATTCAGCTCAACATATGAAACATATGACATATTCAAAGCATCTCGTAGGATCAAACCCCTGTACAAATTGGGGTGGAGATGACTTATTATTGTTTCATTTGACTCTGAAAAGTCAAAAGAGAACAGGATATTTTTTGCACGTGGTGCATATGCTGGTTGGGTGGCATCCAGTGAGGTGATAACAAGTGACAGTTACTGTGATTAAAAAACAAAATCAAACTCTAACATCAATTGATGGCTTGTTATGTTCCAGGCACTACGCGAAGCAGTATATATGGGAATCTGCCTTTTAGCTGGGACACTTGACTTGCTTTTGTCTTTAGGTTGTAAGTCTCCTTTTTCTGGGAGAGAGGACTTTGGTGGGTCTTTTAATTCTATTGACATAAGACAAACCCACATCTATTATTCTTGACAAGGACCCAACTGACAGTGAAATTATCCAAATGCAGATGCTGCTGATGGCAGTATTAAGTGATTTGTTTACTAATTTACATTTGATGTACATTTTTTTTTTCTCCTTGAAAATCATGTAAGGTTTTTTCCCCCAAAACTTTGGTTTAAATTTTTCTATGTCTAAACATTATTTTTTGTTTAAAGAAAACATTTGCGTGTTTTCTTGTCGAAGCATTTGCTCCTAGGAGATGAAAAGTGCGGGGCAGACTACACGCGAGGGATGTGCTGGCTTCATCTTTTCCTCACCCAGCATTGGAGGAAAGACTGAGAAAAAGAGTTGGGATCAGCTTGGGATAGCACAGCACAATCCTGGCAGGACCACTGGCGTCTGACATGCAGAGGTGACTGACTTTAAATAAAAAAGCATTTTTTGGAATAGACCATTAGCTCATGGTGAATGCCAGGACCCTGGGACCAAATCACATCTTGTGGGTGGGGAAA